GGGGGGGTGTGCAGAGAGAAAAAGAAGCCGGGAGCAGAGCCCCTGGCAGATGAAAAGGGGCCTTTGTAGCGGCTGGGTCTGTACATTAAGATAAATCTCTCCTCGCACTAAAATAACATCTACATTCATTTGGGCCCGTGCCACATTCAGCATTTCAGAAATTTGACAAAACATCGCTCGAGCATGTTGAAGTTTGCCAGTTCACAACGAAACAAGAAAGCTACGTCGGCCGCATGGAAACACTTCTCCCAGTTCCCCACTTTCACTTATGACTCTAATTTTCCGGCTGCACTTGAAAGAAAAAGCCTTTGCCCTTTTTTCAGGTGCCAACCACTTAGCAGGGCCCTGAAATGGGCAGCAAATTGCCGCTGGAGGTGGTAGACTTCAAGAGGAATCTTTTTCTTTCCCCCTAAAGGAAACTACTAGAGACTCTGCATGCCTGATAAAGCCTTTAATAGCTGGAGAGACATTATCTGGGGGTGGCCCTCAGGTGGACTAGACATGAATAATGCCTCATGAAAGGAATTACTTCTACCCCAAGTACAGCACACCAGACGAGCCTGGCGGGGCCTGTTTCTAACAGAAATCTCCCATGCAGGGTCCAGCAGGCCACAGTCACTCCTGTGGAGCGCTTCCCTTCCAGACCGTGTCCCTTCCAGACCAGTTTTGAATTGTTTGAGGCCCTGACCAATTTTTTTTTTTCTTAGATTGTTTTGCTAAAGGGCATTTGTGCTTGCTGGAGAGACAGAGAGAGACAGAGAGATAGAAGGTGAGAAATCACTCCCCCTGGGAGGGATGGCCACACCGCAATCCCTTCTCCTCCATTTTCCTCTCAGGATCTTGGGCATGTATCCACACATGCCTGGCCTGAGTTTTAAGTTGCTGGGTCCAGGACTCAAACTGTGGTTGACTATGCGAAGAGTCCAGTGATATAACCATTATGCCATCTGCTGGTCTTGAGGCCCTGATTAATTTACATTGGGACATTCCTTTCCTTTCCTTTCCTTTCCTTTCCTGCCCTGCCCTGCCCTGCCCTTCTCTTTTCTTTTATTTTTTTTT